CAAAAAAAAAAAAAAAAAAGAATCACTGCCTATTCAGAGGCCTTTGAAATTCTGTATGAAGTGTGGGATTAGTTTTTTCATTACTTGTTAGATGGCTATGGTATTTGAATAGTGATTGCACTGAATATAGATTGCATTGTATTTTATTGTCAGCAAAGCAGTATTACTTTCTAATCTGTGAGCACAGTATGCCTTTTCATTTATTTAGGTCTTCTAAAAAGCAAGGGGGTGAAGGGAGGGCAGGGGTAAGGGGAAAAAATGAGAACCAAGACTTGTCATGTACAAGATCAATGTACTGTATCCCTAAAATGTACCAATAAACTCAATTAAAGCTGAAAAAAAAAGCATTTTATACTCTGTGTACAAAAATTGTCCTTCCTTGGTTAAATTCATTCCAAACTATTTTATTCTTGTTGATGTTCACAGCTTTTGATTTTCTTTTTGGGGAATACATGGAAGTAGACAGTGGTCTTTGATTTTTGTAACTTGCACTTAGATCCCAACCACAGAATATTTTTAGAGCAACTTTATATTTTTGTTTTTTGTATTTTTTTGGTACAAGGATCAAACTTGGGACCTTGTGCTTACAAGGCAGGCGGTGGCACCACTGAGCTAAATCCCCGGCCCCTACATTTTTGTTTTGTAGCAAAAGAATCTTCTACAATGTCTAATCTCTCATATTACCATTAGTGGAAGTCTCTTTTTATTTTTTAAAAATTTTAATAGCATATGTTTGTAGTACAGAATGATTAAATTCATAGTGGAGAGTTGCTTAATGTACATAATACATCTTAATTGTTTTTATATCCCCTTTCCCTCCTTCCCTCTCCTCTCTCCATCCATATCTTAGTTCCTTTCCCATTTGCCAAAGTTCTCCCTGTTTTCTGTCATCTTTTATTTTGCTCTTTATTTATACTTTGGGTCTCTCATACAAGGCAAACACTGTGAGATATTGTTGAGGAGATATTGTTGAGCATGGTCATTCCTTGGTATCTACCTTAGGATTATAGTCACTCTGTGTACTCCTAGTCATGTCTGTCTTTGTCTAGATCCATGGCCGATGGGTTTGTGAGGTATCCTCCCTGATCCAGGTGGTCCTCTGTACATACATCTAGGCTGTGGCAACTGTGCAAGCTAAAGTGGATCCCTTATCATACTGGCAGATGGGGAAAGCAAATAGACCACTGAGCTTTGTGCTGGATGTAGGCAGTGGCGAAGGGGGCTGGGGCTGTTGCTGTCACTGGACTTAATCCTAGCACTTTCAGACTCAGCCCCCTCCAAAACCCACACGTGACCAGCCTGGCTTCTCAACCAGAGGGCAGGACCCCCAAGTCCTTCCTGGCCTGAGCTTAAACTTTTCAGGGCCAGAGTCTGTGTCTCTTTGCAACTGTCTCTTTTGCCTGTCTCCTACCCAGTCACTAAGATAGGGTGACATCAGAGACCCTGAAGTCTAATTGTTCCATAGTTGATCTATAGCACAGTCTTGAACAATTAACCTCTTGCCAAAATGGCTCCTGGTTAAATATCAGATATACCAGGCACTGCACTGGGTTTTTTTCTCCAACTCTAGCTTGCCAGACAGAAGGAGTTACTTTTGGAGACAACCTGTGCTGTTTTTGCAGTTTACAACAATTGTGAGCTTTTTGGGGGGCTAGCACTGCCAGCCCAGTCCATTGTTTCTCCTGGGCACTACTGACTTTACAGGCTCACTTTGTACCAGTGGATTATAGGTCCTCCTTGACAGGAGCTAGGGCCCCTTTCCCAAATGCTTCCTTCCTTTTTCTTTGTTGTGCTCTGTTTCACCAGCTTCTCTGCAGTTTTGTTTTCCTGTCAGCTCCCTCCTGATTCCCAGAGTTCTTTTATTCTCTCTTCACAAAGTTGTTCCTTTCCAGGTATCTGCATTCCAGGTCCTAGAGAGACTATTTTGTTCTCAATCTCTACTCTGACATTTTTAATCTTTTTCATTTTTTTAACTGCTTCAAAAAAATTTTATTCCTAAGTGATGTAAATGCATTGTACACGATTCAGAACAGAACAGAAAGTTATAAAATTGCTCTTCTGTAGTCCAAGAGATAACTATAGGCTACAGGGTATTTTGGGGAATTTCTATAAATTAGATCAGAATACAGTACTTATTTAAAATCTTAAAGGAAAGGCAATATGAAGATATTTTATGGCAGCATATTAAAACAGGACTGATTTTATAGCCTTGCAAAATTGTCCCCTTGAGAACCAGTGTATTGGGCCTAAGTGACTCAGATTTTTTTGTCATACATTTTTTTCTTTTTCCAAGCCTGTCAAGCTAACATTAAATGGTATGATTATATATTAATGGCAAGAATTGTATATAGTAGTTCTCCCCTATCTGCAGTTTCTATTTCTCTGGTTTTACCTACAATCAATAATAGCTTGAAAATATTAAATGGATGATGGAAAATTCCAGAAATAAACAATTTCCAAGTTTAAAATAATTTATTTTAGGATATTATGTATTCTATTTTATTAATAATTATTGTTATTCTTTTACTAGTGTATAAATTGAACTTTTTTGTGTGTGTATATAAGAAAAACCAAAACCCATAATGCATACAGGGTTTGGTACTATCTCTAGGTTATAGGTATCCACTAGAGTATTTGGAATATATCCCCTATGGATAAGAGGCGATTGTTATATATATAAAATCCCCATGACACATTTTTTCTTAAGCTATATATTGTTACATTAGGGCACACCCAGCTTATAAAATTAAAAGCCTTTATTTGCATTTGCATTAAGTCATTGTGAGATGAGTAATTTAAAGTTATTTACAAAGATATACCATTACCTTGTCACACAAAGGCAAGTTTAATCAACCAGTGTGAGTGTAACTAAAGAGAGTGTGAGAGAACTACATAATGCTCTTCTTTGCTTTCCCTTGAATGTATTCTAGGACCTGGCCAGCTTTTTAATGAAAACATTAATTTTCTGGGAGAGGGATTTAACTCAGTGGTGCCACCTGCCTTGTAAGCACAAGGTCCTGAGTTCGATCTCTGGTACCAAAAAAACAAAAAACATCCATTTTCTTACCTTGGAAATTGTCTTACCTAAATTTTTTTAGGTACCACACTAGAGGAGATAAGAGATTTAAGATAAAATAGATCATGAATATGTTAAGTGTTTTAGTTTATCAGATATTTGAACTCTTACAGCTGTTAAATAATAGGACAAAATGGAATTGAGTACGATGCCAGCATGGAAGAGTCTAAGGGTTCATTAAAAGTCAACTGTAATGATGGTGAATCATCCAGGATAGATGCACAAGAGTTTGAGGTAAATATTCAGCTGGGAATTTCTTTCTGTTCTTGGGAAAGCAGCATGCTATTCATTAAATGACTTTTATGCCTAAGGAATATGTCTTATATTTAATGATTTAAGATTTTAATACTTAATCATCTACATAGTCTATCATTTAATTTTATAATACAGAACTTTACTTAAAGTAAGACAGATGTAGTCATAAAAATATACAAAAAATACCTGTGCTGAATTTCATCATTTTAGTATACAATGGCTGATTTTATTTAATAAAATTTAGATAAAATACAAAATAAAAAGCATTTTCACTTAAGTACTTTCTATTTTGTAAGTTGACATTCTTGTGAAAATAAAATAAACTAGCTTAAAAATTGCCTTACTATTTTTATTAAACATGTTCCGTTTTTGAGGTAAATATTGTATTTTCTTTTTTCTTTTAGTTGATTAGTACAGGCATATAGTAAATAATGTTTACATTCCTTTAGGGAAGCTGGTTTATGTACATGACACATTTTAATTCCCTGTTCTTCCTCCCTGCTCTATCCACCTCTAAATCCCCTTCCCTTTTTTTGTTGTATACATTGTCAATAAATAATGTTCTATTTAAAAAAATAGTGACAACATATTTTACAAAGATTTAAGTGCAATTTGTGTGTGTGTGTGTGTGTGTGTGTGTGTGTGTGTGTGTGTGTGTTTGTTTTTTGTTTTTTTATAAAAGCATCTAGCCTGTATGGACACCAGGGATCCTTCCTTTAGACAAAATGATTCTCCTGCAGTTTTGCCAATCACTACACCTGAACCAAATAATCCACTAACATCACAGGATATCCCAGGACCCCTTACTCAGACCCCAAGTCTTTCTGCTGAGCAGTTCCATCTAGTGGATCAAAATGGGCAGCCTGTCCAATATGAACTTCAGTCATTGGGGGATTCACAAATGGTGAGTATATTTTATAAATAACCAGTTTATGCTATTTAGCAAAATGTGTTAATCTTACTAGATGACCTTAATTTCTTAATACTGTTGGCTTATGTTGTGTTAAAAATTCTGTTTCTGGCACACACCTGTAATCCCAGCACTTGGGAGGCTGAGGCAGGAGGATCGCTGTGAGTTTGAGACCAGCCTAGGCTACATAATGAGTTCCAAGTCAGTCTCAACTACATAGTGAGACCCTGTCTCAAAAAAATAAAAAATCTGTTTCCATGACTTTTGTTTTCATGTAAGGATTTTAAAAGGTTTTCTTTGAGATCTACAACTAGCACTTTAGTTTTACTAAGCCACTTACATCTGGGCACACTGGTGTTCTGAGATGAATTGGAAATGTAACGTAATCTAACAAGTGCTGAAATTTACACGTGATTTATGTTTTTCTCAATATATGTAATAGACTGAACTGGTGACTTGCATGTGACATGCTGTTATCCTCTCTTGAAAGCATTTCTCTAATGGCCAGAGATGTTGAACAATTTTTCATGTATTTATTAGCTGTTTGTACTTCTTCTGAGAATTGTGTCTGTTCATTTCAGAAAGTTGCCCATTTTTTTATTGGGTCTCTTATTTGGGAGGAGTCTAATTTTCAAGTTCTTTATTATTCTAGATATCAGTCCTCTGTCCAAGGAAATATAAATAAGCAAAATAAAAGATAGGTAATAGGAAGTAGAGAGTTCTTTTTCAAAGGGGAAGGGAAACAAGAGATAGGAGGAAGGGAAGGAAAGGAGATGAAAAAAAAAGTTAAAAGAAAAAAAATGTAAATAGAGATTTTGTAGATGGGAAGGAGACCAAGAGATGGAAGGAACAATGAGGAATGGGCATGGGAGAGGTAGGGGACAAAAAAAGAATTAGTATGTGTATGTCCACATACCAACTCCCCATGATAAGTGTAGTCATTACATACTGCAAACATGTACTAATAAACAAATTTTTTAAGAAAAAGCAATGGAGGGCCAGGGATTTAGCTCAATGGTGCTGCTACCTCCTCACAAGTACAAGGTCATGAGTTTGATTCCCTGGAACCAAAAAAAAAGAAAAAAGAAAAAGCGATGGAGATGGAGATGCCCTTCTGATCTTTGAAGGTAGATTGTATATATTATATATGTAGTGTGAATAACAGTGTGCACAGATAAGAACAGAATGCAGATGCAAACTGTTGGCTCAGAGTGTTTTTTACGAAGTTCCATAGTTTTAATAATACAGATGAAGGATGGCTTTAGTTGAAATAAGGATAATTACTGAGAAAAATTTCTGTGGTACTCTCTAGTTAATAAAGAGTACATGTATGTAATTGTGAAGAATAATGTGTCTCTTTTTGTTTACCTGATTTTCCTAACTTTTCTACAGTGCATATTTATAATACTACTTCATAATAAAAATTATTTTTAAAAAGATAGTAACTTCAGTTATGCCACAAGTAAACAACCATTTTGCCTAGAATTAATCCTTGTTGGTGTTTTTAGTTTAGAGTATTCTAGAGTTAACTTATGCCCTTTTGCTCTATTTTATTTTGATTCTTGAGCAGAGAGTATAGGTGGAGATGTGTCTAAGTGTAGAGAAGTCTTTTTTTCTTTTTATATAATGTATAATATAATTAATATATAAATTATGTGTGTGTGACTTTTTTTTCTTCATTGCTAGAGGTTGAACACAGGGCCTTGTATATGCTAGAAAAGTGATTTACCACTGAGCTACACTCCTAATCCAGGAAATTTTTTTATTTTGTCTTAGGCTTGATATATTTCTTTCTTTTTTTTTTTTTTTTTTTTTTTTTTTTTAAGGAATAAAAATTCTCCTTTTTTTTTTTTTTTTTTGGTTTTTTTTTTTTTTTTTTTTTTTTTTTTTTTTTTTTTTTTGGTACCAGGAATCAAACTTGGGTCCTTGTGCTTGTGAGGCAGCAGCAGAACCACTGAGCTAAATCCCTGGCCCAGGCTTGATATATTTCTATGCCAGGCTGGGCCTATGTGAGGACTGAAAAGCAAAGAAAGGGTAAACTTCTGTAACCATATTAACCAGGGGAGGTTCATATGTAGCAAATAATGTAGATGTGAAGCAGCTACATTTTAACTTTTCATGTCCAGAATTAAATATTTCTGCAGTTTCCCCTTTTATTTCCTATTCATCCAACAGAAGAATCCAGAAGTCCAAATGTATGACAGGCTATGATTTTACACATAGTACCTTACCTTAAAAACAAAGTTCTTTGATTCTGAAAAACTTACCATTCTTCTGATAATTAAATTTTTTATACAAAGTGATATTAAGCCAGGTGTGGTGGCTCACACCTGTAATTGCAGACTGGGAGGCAGGAAGCAGGAGAATTACTGTGACTTTGAGACCAGCCTTGATGACAGAGTGCGTTCGAATCCAGCCTGAACTACATAGCGAGACCCTGTCTCAAAAAACTAAAAACAGAAACCAAAATGAAACACCAGAGCCAAAACAGAATATCAGATGATATGAAAGATGATTTTACATTGTTTAGGTAAGAGTTGGCAAGTGGTTATTTGAAACTATGAGATAGGAAACATATGGTATGAAGCATGGAAATGGAAATATATATAAGAAACAGAATATAAGCAAGAATTTTCTCCAAAGAACTAAAGACTAGAAAGTAATGATATTCTGGGAAATTTAGTAGACCTTCTGTAGGCTGTTCATTTTAATAAGCATTCTTATTTTAATTTTGTTTTGAACCAGGGTCTCACTGTGTTAAACTGTTAGGCTTAAGTAAACCTCCTTCCTGAGTGGTGGGACCACAATTGCACACCACTGGCTTTTTTTTTGGTACCAGGGATTGAACTCTGGTCCTTGCACTTGCAAGGCAGGCCACCGAACCCGCTGAGCTAAATCCCTGGCCCACCACTGGCTTTTTAATAAGCTTTATTTTTTAAGAATAGTTTTAGTTTCCCAGCCAAATTGAACTGAAGATACAGAAATTTCTCTATGAATACTCCCTGCTTCTACACTCCCTGTCTTCTACTCTGCAATTATATCTCCCATCAAGTGGACCATTTTGAAAGAAATATAACTTTGTTTTCAGTATGACTCCATACAAAGAAGCTGTCAGGGAACTAGTAAGGATTCTGTGGTGAATGGATCTGAAATGGATGAGATGGCTGTGGCTGTGAAGCAGGCTTAGTATTTTACATTTATTGGAAATACTGTAAACAAAGAGCTCAGTAAGTATAAGTCTTCTTAGCTAAAGTTTTCAGGTTTTTTTGGGGGGATCTCGGGATTCGAACTTGGGTCCTTGTGTTTGTGAGGCAGGTGGTGGAACCACTGAGCCTGGTTTTCAGTTATTTTAATCTTCTCCAGCATATTGTCACAGGTGACTCTTCAAAACTATGTTTCCTTTTATGGGGAAAGATTAAGGATTCATAGCTCATTCCTTTAATTAGAAAAATAATATCACCATCACCACTTTCAAATTACATGAATTGAAAATCATATTTTAGGTACCAGAGGGACTAAGTTAAAGGAAAAAATGGAAGAGACTCTCCTCCACTGTGCTTGGCAAACATAATGTCAAAATTAAAGGGCTGCTTCATAACTACCCCCTGCCCTTTTTTTTTTGGTGGTGGACCTGGAGATTGAACCCAAGCCTTTCTCACTGAGCTGCATCTCCAGCCCCCTTTTTATTTTTTTATTTTTCAGTCAGGTTATTGCTAAGTCAGTAAGTTGCCTGGGCTGGGCTGGAACTTGTGTTCCTCCTGCCTCACCTTCACAGGATGTTGGGATCACAGGTTTGTGCCACCATGCCTGGCTCAGACCAATCTTAATTTCAAAATTTTTCATATGATTGAATAAATTATGAAACTATTTATTTAATTTGATGTAAAAATTATTGCAGCACTTTTATTTTTTAACTGAATAAAATCATTTTCATAAGTAATCTCATAAGGAGAGGAATTTTTTATCACAATGTCATTTTTATAATATATATATGTGTGTGTGTATATATATATATACACACACACATATATATATACCACATTTTCTTCTTTTAATTTTTATTATTATATGTTTTTAGTACCTAATAATTATATTCATTGTGGGTAGTGGATACATGTACATAACTCATTTTCATTCTTTTCTTTTTGATCCCCTTCCTCTCTCCATCCATCTCTTGGTCCCTTTCCCTTTAATTTTTTTTTTTTAATTGAGTTTATTGGTACATTTAGGGATACAGTACAGTTACATTCATTGTTGGGATCATGTACCTTTACATGGCAAGTCTTGATTCTCATTTTTTCCCCTTACCTCTGCCCTCCCTTCACCCCCTCCTCCCCTCCCCATCTACAAACACTTTATTTTCATCTTTTCATTCTCTCACATTTTTTTCTTTTCCCTTTTTGTTCTTCCCCTACGTATCACACCTTCCCTACACCTTTAGCTCCTTTCCTCCCATTTCTAAATGTCAGTAATCTTATTAGAATCTTATGCATTGTTGCAGAATATTCACACCAGGGAAACTATTTGGTATTTACACATGTGGGACTTATTTATTTCACTTAGGAGTATATCTTCAATATGTATCCATTTTCCTATGAATGAATCT